GTGGGGTGACCGTCCATTGCCAAGGGATGTCCCCTGTCCCGCTGTGGGGTGACCGTCCATTGCCAAGGGATGTCCCATATCCCACTGTAGGGTGACCGTCCATTGCCAAAGGATGTCCCCTGTCCCGCCGTGGGGTGACCGTCCATTGCCAAGGGATGTCCCCTGTCCCGCCGTGGGGTGACCATCAGCCCAATGTGCCGCTTGGGACTCCTGGTGAAGGCTCATGCCCGGCGGCTCGGGGTTGGGATCCAACACCCGCAGCCCCGCTGGGAAGCCCCGACAGCACCGCGGTCCCTGCCCGCCATCCCCGGGGCCGTGAGTCAGGCCGTGGGTGCCGGGGCCAGCCGCGGTGCTGGGCCGGCTGTGCTGGGGAGCCGGGGGGCCCCCGGGGCTGGGATGGACCGCGGCTCCAGGGACTCGGCCGCCCTGTCCGTCAGGAGCGGCAGCATTTTTAGGAGAGGTATCACGCGTGCTTCCCGCCTGCCGCCTCCCTGGACCGGCTTGTTTGCCAGCCCTTCCCGGCGGGCGCGCCGGGCCGTGTCGTGCTGGGCCATGCCAGGCTCCTTTGATCCGGTAACAACCGCCGATGCCGGTTCCTGGCGCTGGGCTGGCGAGAGCCAGGAACCGCAAGGTGCAGCGGGCAGGAAGCTGGGGCAGGCAGGGAGAGCCAAGGGGCAGCCTGCAGGCCCAGGGGGCTGCTTGGTGGTGAGGATTTGTGACCCCTGACATCCCCTAAGAAGGATCCTTCTCAGGAATGCAGTGGCCCGTGTCACCCATCGATCAGCCCCACAGGGATTTGGCTGTGGTTTGGGGACCCCGCAAGGCGCTGCGTCCCCCGGGGGGGACGGGATGCATTTACAAGCTGCTCACAGCCCAGCCAGCAGTGGTGTGGAGGCAAGCTGGGAGCTGTGGCCTGGAACGGGCCTGCTGGAGTCAGCCCGGGATTTATTACCCTGCCAGTGGCTGCCGGGCAAAGGTGACAGTGACTAATGGCTTGTTACACGCCTGCCACATCTCATCTGCGCCGCGTCCGGCTGCTGCGCTCCCAGCCCTGCTGTGCGTGCAGCCTGAGCTGCGTCCCTTCCTGGGGGGCACACAGGGGTGACCCCCCCTTTGCCCCTGCGGGGACCTCGGCCAGAGAGGTGACAATGACATCTGGACAGCTTGGCATGGGATCTATCCCCGTGCTGAGCATGGAGACCCACGCTGTCAGCGTTCCTTGTGGCCGGGCAGAGCCAGGCTGGCATCTGTGGGAGCACCTCAGTATCTTGGGGGTGGTGACACATCCCGGGGTGTCCTGCTGAGCTCCGTGTGACACACGGGACTTCCCAGCGCTCAAAACCCCTTTGTGGTTGCCAAACCATGAGCCACTGCTCTGCCAGCACGGTGTCAATCCCGTGCCAGGGTGGCTGGTTTGGGGTGCTGAGGGGATCCTGCGTGCGTGTCCGGATGGATGCTGACGGAACCACAAATGCATTCACCAGGAAAATTAAAAAATTAACAGGCATTGGCTCACTCTAGATTAGTAAAGGCAGGAGATAAAAGCGGCTCTTTATACCTTGTGAGAATTGCTGATAAGGGCATTTGTTCCTCTGTATTCTTTAAAAAGAATGCAATAAAAATTTAAAATAGAACGGGAAAAGGGAATTGGGGGGGGAGAAGCACGAGGAGGGTGGGGGGGAAGCACGAGGAGGACTGGGGGGGTGGCGGGCAGCAGCGGCACCGCGGCAGCACCGGCGTGGCGAGCACTGGGGCCTGTTGGAGGAAGAGGAGGAGGACGGAGGGGATGCAGAGGCAAGGGTGAGCTAGGAAGGGATTTTGGGGGATGTGTGTGCGGTGGTGTGGCAGTTTGTTTGGGGACGGCTGGGTGTCCCTGTCATGGCCTGTGTGTCCTCCTGCGGAGGTGCCAGTTCATGGCTGGCAGTGCCAGGATGAGATTCCTCACCAAAGCCTCCTTCCTGCCCGAGGGAGGTGGGGAGGGAGGTGGGGGTCCTGCCTGTCCCAGCCAGCCGAGCCTGTCTGGCACGTGGAGCCGTGGAGCCGACTGGTGTGGCCGCTGAATGATGGGCAACTTCCTCCTGTGCCAGTGGGCTGAGCCCCACCCCACTCGTGTCACTGGTGTCCCCAAGTCCAGGTGACGGTGGGATAGCACAGGGGTGACCAAACAACCACCATCCCCAGCTGGGAGGGACAGCGCTGTTCCCTCTCCCACGCCTGGTGCAGGGGGTGCCTGAGGCATTGGGGTGTCCCGAGGGGGCTGCCATGGGGACACCCCTTATTTCCACAGGGTCTGGGCTCAGGACCACCCTGGCTGCTCACCGTGCTGGGCCACGCCGGCACCCTTGAACCCCAGAGTATCCTGGAGCAGTTTTGGGGCGGGGGCCAAAGGCCTGGATCCCACCCCAACCCCTTGCCCCCATCATTGCCTGGCTCAGGCATCCCCCCATCTCTACATCTGGGGAGGGGTCACCAGGAGCGACACCCCCATCACCCCAACTCTTGCCATGCTGCGGAGGGACCGACACCCCGCACGGGGGGGAACCCCCATTCCCGGTGGTGCCGGCTGGGAGGCGGGGGGTGGTTCCGAGAAGCAGCATCCCTGTTTTGGGAGCGCCCCGCGCCTCGCCGCCGGTGCGGGCCGCCCCCGCCCCGCCGCCCTGCCCTGCCCGGCCCGGCCCGGCCCCCGGTGAGTCACGCTCCAGCCGTGCGGCTCTCGGGGCGGCGGGCGGGCGCCGAGCGAAGCAGGAAGCGGCGGGGGAAGGCTCGGCACGGCTCGGCTCGGCACGGCTCCGCTCCCCGCTCCCTCCGGCGCTGCCCATGGAGGAGCGCAGCCCCCGTTGGACAGCGCGGCCCGCGGGTGAGTGACCCCCGCTCCCTCCCCACGGGGACCCCCGGCAGCGCCGTGGGGAGGGGGCAGCGGGTCCGTCCCCTCCCCCGGGTGGGGGTCGTGCTGGTGGGGTGGGATGGGGTTGGTGTGACCCCGCTGCTCGCAGTGCCCCCCCAACCCCTCTGCAGGTCACCCGGGGGTTGGGGGGCTCTGTGGTGTGGGGGACAGAGGTCACCATGGGGCTGAGAGAGACTGCTGTGCGGGATGGAGGTCACCCCGGGCTTGGGGGACACCATGGGATAGGGGGTGGAGGCCACCCTGGGGTTTGGGGGTGCGGTTGTTTGGTGAGTGGAGGTCACCCTGGAGTTGGGGGACCTCACGGTCTAAGGGGCAGAGGTCACCTTGTGTTTAGAGGAACCCACGGTATGGAGGATGGAGATCACCTTGGTTTGGGGAACCCCGTTGTAAGGGGAACGGAGGTCACCCTGGGTCTGGAGGAACCCGTGGTTTGGGAGACCAAGGTCACCCTGGGGTTGAGAGACCCCATGGTTGCCCTGGGGTTGGGGTTCCCTGTGATGTGGGGGATGGAGGTCACCTTGGAGTTTGGGGACCCCATTGTTTGTGGACTGGTGTCACCCCAGAGTTGGGGGATCCTATGACACAAAAGGTGGTGGTCAGCCTGAGCTTCGGGGGTCACTGTTGTTTGGGGGATGGAGGTCACCCTGAGGCAGGGGGACCCTGTGGCCTGGAGGATGGGAATTGCCTTTGGCTTGGAGGTCCTTAGTGTGGGGGAAGTGGAGGTCGCCCTGGTGGAGAGGTACTCCATCATGGGGGGGACAGAGGTCTCCCTGAGCTTCAGGTGCCCTGTGATGTTGTGGACAGAAGTCACCCTGGCCTTGGGGGAGCTCCATGGTGTGGAAAATGGAGGTTGCTTTGGAGTTGGGGATCTAGCTGGGGAGTGCTGTAGGGAGATGAGAACCTCTGGGTTCTGTGACCTCAGGTCTGGGGCCAACTGAGGTGCTCAATCCCCATGACCCGCATTCCAGAGAGACCCTTGAGGTCATTTCCCATGGCTGGCAGGCCACCGGGTGTCCCTGACCTTGACCCTTCTCTGCTTGCCTTGGTGTCTGTCCCTCTCACGATTCAGGCACACACAGTGCAGCGTGAGGCCGTGCCTCAGTTTACCCACCAATATTTCTGGACACCCAGAACCGCCAGAGCTGGAGAGGGACCGTGTTGCTGGCTGAGCCAGACGCGAGGAGCCCGGGCACCGCACCCTGTGCCAGGGTGATGCCGCGGCCCCGGCGTCTCGCCTGCCTCGCCTTTAATGCCCCGCTCCGTGCTGGCTCTTCCAGCCCTGCCTGTGCTGCCTGCTGTGCCCTTCGCCCTGGGGCCGCTGGCTCACCGTGTCTGCTTTGCATGGTGACACGGGTGCCAGTCCCCAATGGGTGGCATCTGTCAACCGACTGCCCCATTGGTAGCATCCCTCCCCAGGCCCTGAGCAAGCGGATGGAGCGGCAGGGGCGAGCACCCCGCTCTCTTCCTCCTCATCCCCATCCTCCTCCTCCCACAGAGCCACGGGTGCCGCGTGGGTGCCCGCTGGCCCACGAGCAGGCTCCAGATCCAGGGAGGGAGGTAATGGAGGGAGAAGGCAGCGGGAAGCCAGCGCCTCTTCCTGCACGGGCGCGCGTGCGCCGGCGAGCACCGGGGTGAGCCCGTGTGGTTTGTGGGTGCGAGCGAGCCGGGCGAGCGTGCGCCCGGCTGCCTGTTTGTGTAACCCGCCGGCGAGGGCACCGCCAGGGCTGGCCAAGGCCGGGGGGTGGCACGGGGGTCGGTGTGCAGGGGGGGCTGGCTGTGAGCACACCCGCGTGTCTCCGTGCGCGTTGCACAAGCCCGGGGTGTGAAGCGCGGTGACCCCTCGCCGGGGGCACGCGGGCTGCGTGTGCCTGCACGTCTCCTGCGTGCACACGGGGCCTGTCCTGGCCGGCGGACGGGGAGAGCGTGCTGGCTGCAGGGCAGGGAGCTGCAGGAGGAGATGGTGGCTTTGGCGGGGGGCCAGCCTGCCGGGGAGCGCAGGGGGGGTGCCGAAGGACGCAGGACAGTTTATTCCTTCCCGGCACGCCGGTGCCTGGGACAGGGGTGCAGCTTGGGGGGCAGCTTGAGGAAGGGGTGTTAGCTTTAATCGCTGCTCCTCTGTTTGTTCCCAGCCCTCTCCCTCACCCTGCTGTCTGGCCCGTGGGAGGCTGAGGCCCGGAGGGGATGTTCTGGGGGGGTTGTGCCTGCGCCAGGCATGGAGGTGGTGGTGCTCTCCCCAACATCAGGGCACGCTGCCATGGGTCACACCTCTGTCGCGGAGCCCTGGCACCGCTGCCAGCTCCGTGTGTAAGGCCTGGCCTTACTGTGAGCAGCAGCAGATGGCCTCTGCCATCACGGCCCCGTGGAGACGCCCAGCCCACACCGCCGTGTGTGGGTGATGCCGGCGTGCATCACCCACCTGTGGGGTGCTGCATCTGTGGGGCAGCCCTGCCGAGCCCCGAGAAAGAGCAGCCAGGACAGAGCTTGGCCTGCGGCGGCTGCCCGGGCAGGCTGCCAGGGGGATTGCCCTTGAAGTGGCCCTTGCCATGCCTCGTGCTCCGTGCCCCGGCCGCCCCACGTCCCCCCATGCCGGCACCCCACTGCCCGCGGGCGGTTGCACCGCGGGGCGGGAGGAAGCGCCCCGGAGCTCCCGCACCCACAACCCACAACGGCGGCCGCCTTATCTCGGGGCCTTCTGGGCCCCCCAGCCCTTATCTGCCACGGCCGTTGGCCCTGGCTGGGCTCGCAGCCCCCCTTGGCCCCCCCAGCCCCTGCCCGGTCAGCCCTTGGGGGCGGCCGCTTGGCAGCCTGCCCCCTCGATCCTTTTTGAAGTTTCAAATCCATTTAAGTCAAGAGGAGGGAAAGTTATTGCCTCTAAAGCCCCTTGCGTTGAGCAGTAAATCCTCTTTGCTGGGCCAGCGCCGCCTCCGAGCACCCGTGGGATCAGGGGGGGTGACACAGCCTGAATGTGTGTGTGTCCCCAGCACCCCGCAGGCGGGTGCTTTGTGGCTGGGAGGGAGTGGGAACCCCAAAACATGGTCAGTGTGGGGTTGGGGTTCCTTTGAAACCCCCCGGCTGTGCAGGCAACAGCGTCACTGCTGCTTGCCCACCATTTGCTCGCTGCCTCCTTGCTCACCCCGATTTTGCCCAGAAAAGGGGGGGTTCCCCCTGTGCCATCAGTACCCTGGTGTCCCCAGCAGAGTGGCACAGCACCCCGCTGCTGCCGTGCACCCTCTCTGAGGCCGGCGGAGCAGGAGTGGGATGTGCTGCCGGCACGCTGGCGTGTTTTATTTGATTTCCTTTCTCCCAAGCTGGCAATATTTAAATATTAATGCCTGCCTCTAATTGCTGGGTCAGAGGAGCGGGGCGGCGCGGGAGCGGGTGCAGGGGCGGCTGATTTTGTTGTCTCGGGGAGTGTTTGCCGAGGAAAAATGTTTGTGCACACACACACACATAATTTTACTCCCTGGGGATTTACTTGGCCTTGGGAGCGATGCAGGGGGGAAGGCTGAGCTGTGATGCCACCGGGCCATCATTTTGCAGCAGGGCACCCACCCCCCGCATCCGGGGGCCCTTCTCCCGCGCCCGCAGAGGGATTGTTAATAGCAGGGGAGGGGGGGGTGTTTTATTTTCTCTCCGGGCAGCACGGCGTCAGATGCTTGCGTGCTCGCTTCCTGTAATAAAGCGACCGCCGGCGCGCTTGTCACCTGCTCTCTGTTGTGCTGCCAAGCGCAGACATGCCGCTTCTCGCTGCGGGCCCTGGCGCGCTCCCCGCTGCCGTGCCCGCCGCGGGCGCTCGCCCCGTGCCAGCGCGGCGGTAGCAGGTGTTTGGGCAGGGTGTGATGGTGCCTGTTGCCGCACGCCCCGCGCGGGCGGGGGCCGTTTAACTGTTCCTCGCCGCGGCCGTGCCCGCTTCGACGCCCTCCCTGCTTGGCACTGGGGTGTCCCGCTCCCCTGCGAGCCTTGGCACTGCTGTTTCCCGGGGCTGTGCCGTGGCAGAGCCAGCCCAGCTGCAGGCAGGTGGCTCTGGTGGTCGCCAGCTGTGCCGCGCAGTTGGAGCGGGGAGGTCCGCGCGGCGTGTGCCACGCAGGGGATGTGCAAGCTGCTTGGCACTGCTGTTGCCCACCGTGCTGTGCCATTCCATGCCATGCAAGGGCTGTGCAAGCTGCTTGGCACTGCTGTTGCCCACCGTGCTGTGCTGTACCGTGCCATGCAAGGGCTGTGCAAGCTGCTTGGCACTGCTGTTGCCCACCGTGCTGTGCCATTACATGCCATGCAGCTGGCTTGGACACCAGGCTGCTGCTGACTGTGCTCTGCAGTCACCTTGGACTGCTCACTGTGCCATGCTGTCCCTTTGCATGCTCAGCCCTGGGGCCAGCACCTTCCCAGTGCTTTTAGGGGGTTTTTCCCCATTGGGAAATCCTTCTGTTCCACTTTGGATCCCTCACTGGTTTGCCAACCCTCACAGCCGTTGGTTTTTGGCTGTGCAATCTCCTTCCTCCTGCCCGCATGGCCCATCCTGGTTAACCAGGGTTTGCTGCGTGCTGCTCCTGTTAACCCCGGCCAAGGGAATTCTCTGCCCTTGAACCTGGCAGGGAGGCTCCTCGCAAGGGGCTAACCCGGGGTCTGCTCCCCACAGGCAGCCTGGAGCATGGTAGATGTGGGGTTTAGGGATGAATTACACCCAAATATCCCCCGTGGAGGAGGCAGGCCGCGTTTTCCTCCTTCCCACCCGCGTCCTGCCCCGCTCCAGCCCCGGCTCCCGGCGCTGCCTTTGTTTCCGCTGTATAACAAGATGATGGGTTAGGGTCAAGCTGCGGGTTCATAACTTGTTGGAAGACTTTGCCGAACAATAAAGGTGTCTGCCTTTATATCTGCTCGTATTTTATCCGCGCCACGGCCTTTCCCCAGCGCCGGCCGGGATTTATGGCAGGGGATATTTGAACGTGTCGAGG